AGATTTTGTGAGATTGTGAGAGAGAGAAAAAGCTGAGATAGCTTTAGGTTGTTGTGAGAGAATCACCCATGTTGGGTTGATTAGATTGAGAGATTGTTATAATTAGTGATTGTATTTGATTGATTTGATAGTGCAGATTTGTGGCATAGGTCCACAAGAAAATTTTGTTTTGTTGTTTCCGCTTTATTTATTTGTTTGGTTAATTCCTGAGATATCCGAAGTTACAACAACATATTCGACGTATAATGATAAAAGGAACTACCAAATGTATAAACAAAAGCAATACAATAGATTCCTATTTTACTAAATTGTCTTAGTTATATTAAACATACTCTTATTTATATGTACAATGCTCTCATGGGGTGACACTTGGTGTTTTGTGTCGTTGCCAAGTGTCAATTGATAGAATTTTTGATTTGTTCACTGAACCACTTTTTGTGAAAAAAAAATAATTGATTCTTAGAAATAATTGAATCTTTTCTTTTAAGGAAAGAAACAATTGAATCTATTAATTAAACTTGAGAGAATTCTTTATATGTTTATTGAAGAGTTTTTTTTTTTAAATTAATTAATGGATAGATTCCAAAATACAATTGGATCTATTAATTAATTTTTTTTGGGTACATGAATCTATTAATTAATTAATAATGCATATGTGTTTCTTGAATAGTTTTTTTTTGTTTTTGAAAAGTAATTAATGGATTCCAAAATACAAAATTCAATCCATTAATTAATAGTCAATTCATTTACCTTCTCTCTATCAACCATTAATCATAGAAAATAGAAAATGTCTTTGTTTCAATGTTTTTTTACCTTTGCCTACCCAATATATAAGATTATTATTCCTCTCCCCTAAATCAAACTTCAAACAAAAAAAAAAAAAACAAAACTCCGGTACAAAAAAAAAACCCCTCAAAAACTCCATTCTCCCTTTTATGATTTAGGTGTTGATTAATTTTTTTGGATTGAGATGATTTACCTTCCCTAAAGAGAATATTTTGAAGATGTTGAAAAATACCTTTCAGTTTGGGTTTCTATACATCTTATACAACCTCGGGTACGTCTTTCTAATTCCAATTTCTTCTTCTTTATTTTCATAAAAATATAATTCGTTTTGGTCTTTTGATATTATTATATATTTTCAATACTATGTCTCTTTTGCAATTGTCATTTTGTAGGAGCAAGTCTCTGCAAATTTGGGATAAAGAAGGTGAGTGAAATTATATGGAAATAACCATTTTGTTTTGCCGTTAATTAAATGGGTTTTAACTTTAAGTTTGAGTGTGTTGTTGGATCATTGTCGGAGAGAGTGCGGAATAAAAGCAATGGCTCAATTTTTGATTGTTGGTTCTTTCATAAGAACAAATGACTTAAGTTTCTGCTCATAATTTTCTTTTAAACACCTCATAAATGAAACACCCACACGCGAAGCGCGGGGTAACAATCTAGTATATGTAAATTTTAGGGAATTATTAATTTTTATTATTGATGAGACTATATGTATATATAAGGGTTTTTATAAAAATTATTATCTTATTATGTTATCGAAATGACTAATTTTATAACTGGCCCAAGTTTGGACCAGAAGAAAATTTCATTTTAGAGAGGTTATTAATTTATCGAGTATTAATTTATGTAGGTTATACTGTAAGACCGAAGTTAGATATATATATAACTAAAAATCTTAAGTTCACAATTATTTGTTACAAGTAGTTTGACATTTGTTCTCCCAACAAGATCTTGAGTTTAAGTTTTGATGGAGATAATCATTATTGTGAAAGCTTAACTTGCATAGTGGGCTGCCTCGACTCGAACAAGTACAACCAGTGTTTAATAAGAGTGAAATTAGATATTACTAGAGATCCTAACTTTGAATTGACAATTGATTAGTTCAAATAATTCGATACTTGTTCCCCATAAATAACATCTTGAGTTTGAATTTTGATTGAGATAATCATTATCATGAGAACTTTACTCATATAGTGGCTTGATCTAGTTCGAACAAGGTTAACATGTTTATATATAAACTTAATTCGAGCTAAAATACTACCAAAATAATTACTTCATCAACAAAACTATAGGTAAAAGTGTGCTGTTGGCATTGCATTTTGAATAACATTGGAACAATAGTTTTTTATGAGACAATCATTCTTATGTGAGTTTTATTCACTCAATAAGTGATCCTTCTCGAACAAGATTGACATATGTTTATAAAAAGAAAATCCTAAATTTCAAGCCAAAATACATTACTAATTCATTAACCGAACTCAAAGCTAAAATCTGTACCGTTGGCCTTACATTCTGGATGACACCGGAACAATAGTCCAGTGACAAAAACTCAGAATCTAAAACTACTCCGTGGAGATGAGCCAATTAAAATCAAGCTACAAAATTACAGAAAGGATTATTACAAATGTTAGGAGAAACCTTGGATGCCTCTAATTGTCTCGATTTGGGTTTAATTGTAATTTATGTTAGGTTTGAGGGCATTGACATGTTGTCCAGACTCCAGACAGACCAGAACTCTAGTTTGATTCATGGTCACAAAAGAAAAGTAACTGACATGCACGAGTGTGTTGGTAAAAATGTTTAGAGTTTAGACCTTTTAAGCCACTTGGAAACCTCAGGAAGATCCATTTCTTATAGCCTCTCCTCAAATATTCCTTTTAACTCCAAACAAAACAATTATAATCATGTCATTTTTATATCTTTTGTTTTTGATAATAATGTCATTTATATCTTTTTTTTTCTAATAATCGCATTTCTTTCTTCTGAGTTAAATTATTTTGGCATATATAATTTGAGGTTGATAATCTTATCTATATAGAATTTAAAAGGGCATATGAATAAAGTTTTCTTTGATGAGCTATAAACTTCTTAAATATTAATAATCAAATGTCTATAACATGGTCTTTAAGTGAAAAATTTTGAATGAACATTAACCATCATCTTAAATACTGATGATATATTTTAAAAGATTTAGTTTTTTTGGTTAATAAAAAATTTTGGTTCTGTTTAATAAAACTGAAAATTAAGTGTTAAAATTTTAATATTGTATCTTATAAGTACTGAATTTAAAAGCATAAAAATTGTTTGATGTTTTACTGAAAAAATCAAGTACTGAATGTAATATATTGTTTGATAGGAATAACCACTCAAGTCTGAAAATAGTAATTTATTTTACATTTTCAAGTCTTATTAAGCGCATAATATTATTTAAAAAATGCTTTATATTTATGGTTTGTTTTATAGAAAAAGTAATTAATTATCTAATATAAATATCATGAATTCCCAAACAAATATAGAAAATTCAACCAATGCCTTCAATTTTTATTTCTTGAATTACAAAATCCAATACTTGAAAAAAAAAAAAAACCTACTGATATATACTACATATTATTTGAATAAACATATGAAAATTACTAAAAGATCCCTACCCCGGATTAATGAGGGGCGAGAGAACTAATTTTTTTCGTCTTTTCCCACTTGACCGATTATTTAAATGCCCTAACTTTTGATTCTTGAGATGATTAAATAACTAGACTTTTTGGTTATTTCTCAATTGACTTTAATAGAGTAGTGGAATTACTAAAAGATCCCTACCCTGAATTAATGATAAGCTGGGTGGAATTACTAAAAGATCCCTAGCCCGGATTAATGATGAGCTGGAGAAGTAATCTTTTTCGTCTTTACCTACCTTGCAGATTACTTGAATGTCATAAACTTTAATAGAGTAGTGGAATTACTAAAAAATCCCTACCAAGGCTTGCTTTTGGAGTTAGAGAACTTATTTTTTTCCGTCTTTTCCTACTTGACAGATTACTTAAATGTCCTAACTTTTGATTCTTGAGGGGATTAAATAAGTAATCTTTTTGGTCATTTTTCAATGGACTTGAATAGAGTAGTGGAATTAATAAATGATCCCCATCAAGGATTGATGATGACCTAGGGAACTAACATTTTTCGTCTTTACCTACTTGACAGATTAGTTAAATGTCCAAATTTTTTATTCTTGAGGGGATTAAATAACTAAACTTTTTGGTTATTTCTCAATTGACAAATGACTCAAAAAGTCGCATGTCATATTCCTTTATTTCCTTCTTTCCCCTTACCTTTTTGGTAATTACAAGATTTCTAGAACCAGATTTAGTTAATTGCACCCTCCCATTTGTCAATTCTACAAGTGCTGCATTTATTGACTTTGTTTTTTTTTTTCCTGTCGATTATTTTTTGAAAAATCTGTACCTTAGAAAAGGAAATAGAACAATCCCAATAAACACGTCAAAGCACTGTCTCCATTTTAAATTTACGACGAAAATCTTTTAATATATGCATGATGATAAATAATGATTCTAAAAAAAGTACGCCCGTAGTGCCAGCACGGGCCGATCAACTTGTTAATTAATTAATTGAATAGCATAAGAAAAACCCCCAAATTCCAATAAAAGCTCCACTTTTTTTTGACATTTTATTATTATTTTTTGCCATCTTTTTTACATTTGATGAGACTTCCCGTTTGGTTCGTGGGTATCAAATATGCCCATGGTTATTTAGATTGATGGGTATGTAGATGGTTAAATGAAATGACAGGGTATCCCATGGTTATATTTGATGACTGCGTTTGGTTCGCGAAACAAATACCCGGGTATTTGACTTAAATTAGGGTACCCATGTAGGAAATACCCATATTTGTTAGAGTCAAAAAAGGTTATGTGATGGGTATTGTTGGCAAATTACTTGAATTACCCCCATTAATAAGAGTGAGCATAATAAGCATACTTATATAAATCACAACAGTCCAATTCCTTTTCACAATTCATTACACATAATTTTCATATTAAACATACATAATTGAGATAATATATTATAAGATTAATCAAATTATTTTACCAACAATTATTCCTACAATTAGAGCAAACAATACATGAAACCAACGAAATCTAAATTTTGGGTTTTATAGTGCGTTTGCACTATCTCCTCCCCCCATTGTCATTAATTACCTAATACGCCAAAAATGATTGTTCAGCTTCCTGTCTAGTTGCAAATGACTTGTGGACTGCGCCACGAAAACCATGCACTTGTGAATGTGCTTCCGGCCATGTGTCATATATACCGGGCGTATGGTCAACATAAACAACATATGTTTTGGCCATATCTTCAACAAGTTCTACCACAAATAATAAATCAATTTATCAAGTGCATAGTAATAATAACCATTATCAAGTGCATAATAATAACCCAAAAGCAAAGATATTTAAATCATCCACAAAGCAAGTCATACAAATCATAAATAAACCAACATAGTCTTCAACAAATAGATCAATTATTCATAAAACACCTATTTAATGTTCATCCTAAACCTAGGACTAGAGGCATGACCTACACCTAACCCAATTCATCAAATCCGGCATCTTCAACACCAGCATTTCCCCCCACCCATAGCAGCTTCATCATCACGGTCCCTACGGGGTTCCCACAGTTGCTACATCAAGGGGTAGTTCGGTAATGGCTTATTCCTCAATCGGCCAGCGTCCTTTAAGAAAGGACTGAGTCGGTTAGCCTAAACATCATTATCAAACACATGATTGTTAGCCTAACTTAGGATTCTACAACCATGCATTTATCAATTTTCCAAATGGGTCATGAATTAGGACAATTTTATTACCTCCATCCAAGCATCCCACATCTGGTCGGTCCTGACAAGTTGATGTGTGGTCAGACTAATGCAATAAGGATTGAATAAGTTGAAACTGCCTTTTCATTAACCTACCCTTTTTATTGATATCAGTGGAGGTTACATTCTTTTCCGGCATTCGAGTGTTGATCATGGTAGTGATACGTTGAAACCAACCTGACCCGAAATGGCCATTATATGTTGGGAGGGTTTGCATGCACTCGAGTAAAACCCTTTCTTCATCAACAGACCAGGTAACCTTAGGTAACCTACCTCTACCAATTCCTTCCATTTCTAGAATGAACATACCAACCAAACACTATAAACTAAACCCAAATATTATCACACAAATCATATATAAATATATATATATATATATACAAACAAAATAATTTAGCAACCCAATAATAGTCATACAAAGCATACTTATATTGAAAAATATATACAAAGCATCCACATTGTCAAAGAAAACAATAATTCAGAAATATTAAACCATCCAACTTAAGATCGATCATAGTTTCAAGACTACAAACAACAAGACTATAAACAACAAACCATCTAACTAAGATGAAACATTCTCCTTGAACATCATCCGCAACTGGGTCCAGTGTTTCAAAACCTTTCCCCTGAGGAATTGACTATGTGGGAACAACAATTCCCACATAGTCCACAACTCATCCAGACCCTCAAACTTGTTCAAGTTGTTCGACCTAAAGCCAAACACAATCATTGAGTCCGCAAGGTCGAATTCCTTTTTAATAGCTCCTACTTGACGCCAAAATTCATGTTCGACCTCTTTTTTCCATGGACACCTAGCCCTAAAACGATCCACAACCCTAGCTGCATCTCGAATCAAGGCTTGAGATCCACATAATAGGGGACCTCACAAGCAAACCAATGCTCAGTTTGCACATCCACAACATGGTCTATTTCTTTCTCAGACCATACTTCACAAGGAGGGTTATACTCAATCTTTACAAGTTGAGTCATTGGATCCACATCCATCAACTGTTCACGCGAAAGCATGATCGACCTAATTGTAAACAGGGCAGACTAAACTTGAAATTAACTAAATAATTTACCAACCCAACTCAAAATCGGCATTACAAATTTAAAAGAAAAAAACTACTGTTTTTAAACACTTGCTTAACATAGGTAAGTGTAACATCAAGAAAACCCAATTCCGAAACCAAAACCTCCAGAGGACTAAGTGAAGCAAACAATGCAAACAATATATTAACAAAAAACACCATCCCTAAACCAAAAACCCCCAAAAAACCCAAATGTATTACCGAAATATACAATAAACAATTAAACAAAACCAAGTGAAGCAAACAATATATATAGCATAAACAATGACCCAAACCGAAAAAATCAACAGTCGAAAATGCTCAAAAAACATAAATCACAACATGAACATGAAATTTATTAAAGAAAAGTTGATAAAAATGGTACCAATTTGTAGATCCGGTGAAGAGCAATAAAACCCAACCAAGTGGCGACGGAGATCGAGTAAGACGGCGACGATATTGGCTAAAAACGGTGCCGGCGATTTTTCTTAGAGAGAGAGAGGCTTGGTTAGAAAAGAGAAGAAGGAGAGAAAAAAATGATGATTTTAGGGAAAAAGTTAGCTTATATATGGGAGGGTAAAAGTTGTAAATATAAAAAAATAACGAGGACAAATTTGTAAAAAAACACCAAGCCCATTTAAGTAATATACCCGGGCAATTTTTTGGCCGCTGAAATCGGTGGGTTTGAAGATCGTCGCGCGTGCTCATTACCGCGGGTATCATGGTGTGTATGGTTATCTCACGGGTATTTCCATTCCCAGTCAAATAGCAACCAAACATGGCCAGTGCGTGGTCATCTCACGTGATATCCGGGTATATCCCAGGATACCCATGAACCAAACGGGCCCTTATTCCAGAAGATAAAGATTCCAATACTATGTATTTTAAATTCGAAGAAAACGCCATTTTTATTTGGTTTTCAATATAGGATGAGAGTCAATGAGCGCACAACAAGCAGAAAAAAATTAAACTAGCTAAAATTTTATTTCAATGGTTCTTTTGAATTAAAGGAGAGGAAGGTTTTTCTACTCTTCTCGTATTGCAGATTTCTAAATTGATATGGAGGAGATAGCCTTGAATTAAGGAGGAAGAAGGAGATTTGTATTGTAGGAGAGGGAGAAGACGTCAAAATTGTTGTGCGCAAACAGAAGATCCATGGGCAGAACATTCAGGCTAGATATAACTAGGATAGAACATTCAGGCTGTACCATACCGCAGGGGGTTCGTGCCCTCCACTTCCATCACAAAATTCTATTGAAAATTCCAATCGGGTCGAGCTTCCAATATTTCAGGTCGAGTCATCAATTCAGGCCAGATCATTTAATTCAAGTCACTTTAACACGTCAAAATTTTGGAGGGCAATAAAGTCTGAATTAAAAAAATAGATTTGGTTTAGCATTTTCAACATTAAGCTATAAGTAGCTCCCCACTTATCTTTTTTTTCGATCAAAGAAAATCACTTTCATTTATAACAGACTAGAGAAATTACAAAATGCCGGGAGGCAAAGTCCTGCACCACACATCATGCTTCCCTATTAACAAATTGAAAACTACAAAATTCAAACAACGAAGCTAACTCTCTAATCTCATATATAAGGCTACCCCCTTCCCAAAATACTATGTCTAGCTTATTAATCTCACGTATAGCAAGTAGGGAATCGCTCTAAAAAATACACCTATCGACCCCAAGCTCAAGAGCCATCTCAAATCCAAAAACTATAGCATGAACTTCAGCGTATAATGAATCTGCAATAAAATATAGATGTCGTGATCCACTAGCAATTATACTCCCACCATCATCTCGTATACCCACCCCTAATTCTGCTTGTTCATCCTCTTTAGAAAAAGATGCGTCGGTATTGATCTTCATTATTCCCGAAGGCGGCGGCTTCCAAACACTCTGCCTACCTATCCCCAACGCTCGTTCTCCAATCCCTGTAGAAGCAACATTACCCTGCTCCAAAATCCTTGAAACAGCTTGGACTATGGCATTCGACATTGAACAAGAAGCCTCATACAAAGCTCGATTACGAGTGCCCATAGTAACCATGATGCCGTGCAAATTTTTTCAAATTGGCCAATGGCATGGGCTTTTTCCAGGTTGAATTCCCAGAAACTTCCATTGTAATCCCATTGCTCAATACACCGTAGCACCCAAGGGCAAACATCCTCCCACACCAACTTGCTCAAATGGCAATTGAAAAAAACATGTGCATCTGCAGATTCTTCACCACCACACACTTCACAAGTTTCTGCAATCTCCATTCCTCGCTTATTTAAATTTCCCTTGGTGGGCAATATATTCCATACCAATCTCCACATAAAATACTGTATTATTGGCATAACATTAGCTGACCAAATATACCTCCATATAGGCGATCTCAACTGTAAAGGCAGTTCTTGCTTCCTGATTATCTTCCTCGCCACATGGTATGCTAAACTGACTGTAAATTCCCCTAGCATTGTCCCATTCCAGATCAGACGATCTTCCTTATTTTGACAAGGAACCACCAAACTGAAAATTCGACAAGTATCCTCCTCAATGAATAATTCCAAGACATCTTCATACTTCCACGAACGATTCTCCAAATCCATCAACTCATTAATCTTCAAATTCGGCCTATTAGACTCAATTCTCGGTGAAGGTCGAAAGCTCGGTGGTTTGTTAATCCATCTGTCCCAAATTTGTAGCTCACCCGAACCTACACAATAACGAGACCCCTCAATAATCACCTTCTTACCAGCTATCAGACTCCTCCACAAAAAAGAAGGGTTCGATCCAATTTTTGCCTGCATAAATTTCCTCCCGGGTAATATTTGGCACGTAACAAGCGAGCACACAATGACTCCGAATTTTGAATTAATCGGCATCCTTGTTTTGCAAGCAATGCCAAATTGAATGCCTCAAAATCACGGAAGCCTAACCCCCCCCATCCGATTTAGATACACAAAGTGATTCCCAATGCTTCCAATGGATCTTCCGCTGACTAGAATTATTACCCCACCAGAATCTAGCAATCATAGCATTTAGTTCTTGCACAAATGATTTTGGAAAGAGAAACACACTCATGAGGTACACAGGAATAGCCTGGGCCACTACCTGTATCATAACAGTTTTCCCTGCTTTAGAGAATAATTTGGATTTCCAAGCAGTAATCCGCTTCTGTAATCGATCCTTAAGAAAACGAAACTCTCCACTCTTTGATCTTCCAATCATAATTGGAAGACCAAAATACTTGTCATTATCCAACACTCTCTGAACCCCAGGAAATTCATTATCTCATCTTTGACAACAGCTGATGTATTTGCACTAAACAAAACAGCTGATTTCTCAATATTTATCTTCTGTCTTGAAGCAGCTTCAAACACATCCAGTATTGAAATCACCTCTTCACATGACCTTTTCGAAGCAGTCAAGAATAATATGCTATCATCCGCAAAGAAAAGATGACTAACTTTCGGAGCTAGCCTTGAGATCTGAACACCTTGAATTTTCCCCAAGTCACTAGCAGAATAAAGCAGCCTAGAAAAACTCTCCATACATAATAGAAATAAGTAAGGTGATAACGGATCACCCTGTCTTATACCCCGAGATGGATGGAAAATCTCCCCATTTTGCTCATTAACGATAACTGAATAAGACACTGTCTGTACACACTGCATTACCAAATAAATCCATTTAGACGGGAAACCCATTACCTTCATAGACTCCTCCAAAAAAACCCACTCGACCCTATCATAAGCTTTACTAAGATCAAGCTTTAAAGCCATATGACACTTTCGCCCCCTTCTCTTATTTCTCATAAAATGAATTGTTTCAAAAGCTATCATGGCATTATCATATATCATTCGTTTAGGAACAAAAGCACTCTGGTTTTCTCTTATAATATCCGAAAGGATGACCTTCAACCTATTTGTAAGAGCTTTCGACACAATCCTGAAAATCACATTACAAAGGCTAATTGGGCGAAAATCTTTAGCTAACCTCGGATCATCACTTTGGGATCAAAACTACATTCGTGTGATTGAAATCTGGCAAAGGCTCATTATTATTTAAGAACTTCAGAGCATAGTTAATCACATCTTAACCTACTACAGACCAACACTTCTGAAAGAACAAAGGAGACATACCATCCGGCCCTGGCGCTTTAGACCCTCCCATTTGGAACACTGCCTATTGAAACTCCTTAGCCGTAAAAGGTGCTTCAAGATGAGTTTTCATATGCTCTGTAACTCGACACTCCATATGCTACAACACCTCATGGATAGCTGCTTGAGTCGGTTTTGAGGTTGTAAACACCTCCTTGAAATAATTCGTAAAAATTGACATAATACCTGTCTGCTCGGTATATGTATTACCCGTCTCATCTTCAATGGATAGAATTTGCTTCTTTTGTTTTCGAGAAGAAGCCACTGCATGAAAAAATCTTGTATTTTTGTCTCCTTCTTTCAACCAGTGCTTTTTCGACCTTTGGCGCCACAGCAATTCCTCCTGATGCAGCAACTTATTAAGCTCCCTATTACAATTATCCAAGTCTACATGATTTCCCGACGCTCCCATAACATAAAGAGACCCAAATTCCTTCTTCTTTTTGGCGATATTAGCTTGAAGATTACCAAATGTTGTCTGGTTACAATCCTCCAAGACAGTTCCACACGCTTTAATCTTCTTAACAATATCCACATCACCATCCGGCCAAGCTTTTTTAATGGCCACTTCAAATTCCTCATGGGCTGTCACATATGTTCAAACTTGATGGCCCTTTTCACGTTATTCCTAATCAATTGCTGGGCCGATATAGAAATTAGAAGAGGTAAGTGATCGGATTTCATAGAGAGTAAATGCCTTTCAACCGAGTGTGCGAATCTTTCCCACCATGCTGTATTTGCTAAGCTTCGATCTAGTCTCTCAAATATATACTCTCCATTTATCCTACGAGACCAAGTCATTTTAGGGCCCAAAACAGGAAGTTCACGAAAACTACAATGGTTAATAACATCATTAAATAATGTCATTTGTCTATTTGGTCTCACAACCCCTCCATCCTTCTCTGAGCAAGATGTAATTTCATTAAAGTCTCCCGCACATAGCCATAGGAAAGATGATTGATTACAAAGAGACCGTAGCAGAGACCATGATTCATGTCTTCTACTCGTATCCGGTTGCCGATAAAACCCAGTAAACCGCCATTTATCAGAGGACCCAATAGAAACATCAATATGCCAAAAAGAATAAGACAAAAGAGAAATGCACTCATCCTTCATCCATAACAAAGTCAGGCCACCAGACCGGCCATTACAATCGACTGCAAAACAATAATCAAAACCTAGTCTAGATCTAATCCATTCCATCTGACTACTACTACGCTTGGTTTCAGAAAGAAAAACAAAACGGGGTTTATTACATTTAACTAACTTAGCTAAAGTAGACACTGCCCGAGGTGCCCCGAGTCCTTGGTAGTTCCAAACAAGGCAATTGATGGCTCCCAGCCGATATGGCTTTTATCCATCCCCGCTGCTGTATTTGTATTCTCTTCCTCTCCTGGACCCTCAGCCACCTGTGCTTTATTGACTTCCGGATTGGGACTTCCCACACCATCAACCTCCATCTCATTCTCCCTGGATTTCTTGCGCTGACCACCATATGCAGAAACACTCTTAGCACCAATTCCTGCAGACCTTTTAAATCCCACCTTAGACGGTTGCTCATGACAAAGGGCCTCGAAAGAATATTTCTCCGAGACACGTGCTACCTTCTTCCATTTTCTGACCTTCCTGTTACCAGATGACCCAGCTCCAAATACAAAGGGTGATGTATGATCATACTCTTCTGTAGTTGAATTTGCCGCAGCTTCCTGTATTGCACCCACACCGCTCCCTTTTTCAATATTAAGCCCACGAGCTCCCCTTTCCAATATTGGATTCTCCACAGGATTAAGACCCAGTTCAGAACCCACTGCTACAGGCCCAACACCTAGAATAACACAATTTTGACTAGGCCCACCAATAATAGGACCAGCCCACATAGCATAAGGAGACTCAAAAGAAGAAGAATAACTCTCATAAGAAGAGTTATCCCCAAGTGGAATAAAAGAACTTCCTGTATTCTCGGCACGACATCCTTTTCCCTTCCCATTTTGACTCAGTCTACCTCCTTTCTTGGCAGTCCTAGATGTACCAGCCACCACATTTGTAAGAGCACCTTTATCCATCACTCCACGTGGATCCGCATTTTCGAAACCACCCCTAAATTCCGGACCCGCTTCAGCTGCCCCTACACCCATCTTTGAGATAATCTCGCAGGACACGTCATCATAGACCAGTGTACGCGCCACCCTCCTCCCATGGAGGAACATACTATCCACATGTCGACAGAAAGGACTACTAATGTCGGTATCTGATTTAGCCAGCACCGATTGACTTCCCTGACGGTTGATTGCACCACCCCTCCTATGCCTCTGAACAGGGGTTACCGAAGCTCTTTCCATAACGAAAGAACTTTCTGACTTATCCGGCTTGTATTTTTGGATCGCGAACCTATTCTCAATTTTCATTGCAACTGCAACAGCACATTCGGTTTCCTGATGATCCACTAGTCCACATACCCAGCAATAATCAGGCCGTTTTTCATAATCAAGCTTAATCTCAGATTCCCCATTTGGATAAGTAAGAGTCGTCACCGTCTTGAATGGGCGTTGCAAATCCATATCAATCCGAATCCGCAAATAACGACCTGAAGTGACATCAACATCCAAGACCCTCCCCATTGACTCCCCCACTGCAATTCCAACCCTCTCATTCCTCATCTGGAAAGGAATCCCTGAAGCTTTCACCCAAAAAGGGCAGGTCTCAAAAGTAATCGATTCTGGCTGCTGTACACCATCGAATTCACGAAGCACTAATAATGCCTTATGGAACAACCAAGGTTGAGAGACAAAAACTCTGTCTCGCTCTAGCACATCAGCAAATTGGAAAACAAAGAGACGGTCTCCCACCTCTTGTACTAACATATCTTGACGCAGCTTCCAAACCTGGTGGAAAACAGCACTCAATCCCTCCGCCGTTGTTGGTTTGTGCAGCAATAATTTCCCGATCAAATAACCACCACCTTGCTGTCCTATTGGCGCCTCCATCCAATCCCCATCGGTAACAATCTTATCCTTCTCTTCTTCTTGAATAGAGAGTTTCAAGCACATTTTAGTCAATGAAGCACCTGCCATAACTGGAAACGAAACAGCACTGTTGTTGCAACCGAAAGACAAAAGAAAATTGGAAGGAGTTCGAGAATAAGCGAACAAGTAGTATAGGAACTCCCTGGATTTTAAAAGACTTTGAGAGTAGCCAAACTCAATCATCAGACCCCAGATAGAAAAAAACTCTAAATTTCAAATTGGAAAATCTGATTTGCGATAATCCGAATAGATATTATCTTGAACAATCTTAAGAATTTCAAATTGAAAATCTAAGTAAGAATCACTGTTAACCAACAGGCCGGCGCCACTAGATAAACCTAGGGGAAGAAAAGAAACGAGAGAAAAAGTCCACAACAACGTCCCCACTTACTTATGTAATCCAACCCTTTTTCATTGAAAAATTTTTATTAAGCTAAATTCAAAATAAGTTATCAAACACATAAAAAAGATAAAAGTGTTGAAATTTTTTATTTTCAATGAAATGAAACTTTTTAATGGTTTATCAAATAGGCCCAAGTTTTACAACTAAATACAAACGTTTATTATGTGTCTATATAAATTTTTCAAAATTTAAAATCCATCACTTTACCAGACTTAAAAAAAAAAAATAGAGGGGAAGCGAAATTATGCACAATGGATGAAGTGATTTACAAATAAACTTATATAACTTGGTGAAAGTTCAGTTAAAAGCTAACATTTGAGGATAAAAAGAAAACTTTTACCTAAATAAAAAAGCATAATTTTAGGAAATAATGAACAAAAATTTTAGGAATAATAAATCAACTACATATTAAGCATACCAGAGAAAACTTTGGAAGTCGTCAATATTATAACTTTCAAGTGTAATTTAATTTGTTGAATAATTATTTTAGTATATAGTGAGAGAGGTAATTTTGTCATTGATGATAGATAGAGTATTGGATTTTTAATTCTAATTCTAATGACTAGAATTCAAATCTTTATTTTTAGAGGGACTAGAGTTCACTTCTTAATAATATGGCTAATTGTTCAATTAAGGGCAAAACGTTTCTGACTCGGCCTAATTTGGGGCACAACATTTCAATTTGGTCTATTTGGGGTGAAACGTTTCAAATTCGCGTCAATTAGGGCAGACTATCAATTTGGGAAACAATTTTTTCGAGAGTGAAACACACGCACCGTTAAAGGTAACGGTAACCGTTAAGTGAATAAAAAAATATTTTTTTAATTATTAAAAAAGTAATTTCAGAATTTATTTAAAAAAAAAAAGAAAACAAAAATAAAAAGAAAAAGCATTTTCATTCAATGTTTGAAAAGTCTGCCGATTTGGATTTTTCATTCATTACTATTTGTAATGATACTTAAAAAACACAGTAGAGAAATTTCAAAAACTGTTTGAAAATACCGATAAGGTTATATCCTTATTTGTTAAATTCTTCAAACGTTTTACCCTTATTTGAAAAATCCGATTACGTTTTACCCTTATCTGCTCAATATAAATTTAATTCAGAAACCCTAATTCCCAAATTATCTTATGAACAAACCCTAAAATTTCCAGAAACTTCCCAAATACCCAGAAATAATTCATAGCAATAACTCATAATACAACACTTTTTTCCCAATACCATGACAGATAATCTATTTTAACCCAAACTCACAATTTTAACTCAGAAACAATAATTCTCAATTCAACTTATGACCAAACCCTGAAATTCCCGAATAATCGCAAAAACCCAGAAGCAATTCATACCAAAACATAATAATAGAACATTGTTTTCCAAAACCCATAACCGAAAATAGGTTTTTACCCAAAATCCACAATAAAAAAAATTAAAAAAAGAAACCTATCACAAACACAAAAACACCACAAGTAAAATCCTAAATAGCTTTTATTTGAAATGCTCCATTGTGCAATTGACTTGGAAACTTGCGCTGCTTGCAGGAATGGGTTTGAGGTTAGGATTGGAAAGCAACTGGACAGGGAAAAAGCGAAGGACCTATTAATCCTTTCTCAAGGCTATGATGCCAAAGAAGTTGAGTGCAGAGGAGCTCTGATGGAATATACAGAGCTATTGACATATATTTGGAGAAGTTGAAAAGATGAACTGAAGAAGAAGAGATTTAAAAAAAAAAATTGCAGAAGAAAAATGAAGGAATGAAGAAAGAACCCTAACACCCAAACTTATAAACCCAATTAAAACGCCGTGTTCTGAAAGAGGGAAAGTTTTTATTTTTTTTCTTATCTGGTTAATGAATTTAATTTTAAATAAATTATTTTTTTTTTTCAAAATTTAAGTGCCACGTGTCGCACTCAGCTTCATTTACGCGCTACAGCGTGACACACGCCGTCTGAATTGACGGTCTGCCCCTAATTGACACGAATCTGAAACGTTTTACCCCTAATAAATCAAATTGAAACGTTGTTTCCCAAATTAAGCCGAACCAGAAACGTTTTGCCCTTAATTGAGCAATTAGCCTAATAATATAAGAAGAGGTAATTTTCTCCATATAATTATGATAAATAATTTAAATTAGCAGATAGAAGTAGTTTATGTTCATTACTACTAGTAAAAAAGGAATTTGAATTTAATAAGGGTAATTACATTTGTATGGGAAGAGAGTTTAAGATGAAAATGGATTGGGCAAACAGAGATTCTTCTTTAAAAAAGCATTAATAAAAATGGCCAGCCTATGTGAACAAATCCTATTGGCAGCATGGCTGCACACACAAGCCAAGTGTTAGGAGCCATTCTTCCATATATATTTTTTATGCTTATAATAAAAAATTAAATTTAACTCAAAATGGGTTAAAATTTAACCCCTAAAACCCCACTTTTTAACCCCCCTCTCTGGTCTACTTTTCTGCATTTCTTTTAGCACTTTCTTTCTTCCCTTCCAGTTCCACCCTCTCTGCCTCCCTCTCACTCTCTCTCCTTGTTTTGGTAAACAACTTTTTTGGTCACTCCAAAAAAGTCATCAATACATACACTATAAAAACTCTCTCACAAACTTAATAAAGATTTGAGATACTATTAGTATTATGCCAAAGCCCAAAATCTTTTAAAAACCTTATATTGCTTCTTTCACATTTTGTATTGTAAGAGTTAAAAACAAATTAAGGAAAATGAAGAGGTCTCCAACTTCTTCTTCTTCTTCTACCTTTTCTGCTTCTCCATCTTCTCCTTCTTCTTCTTCCTCTGCTTCATCGTCTTGTTTAGGTTCTGAGTCTCTTAATCTATGTGAGAAACAGATTAAACCCAGAGCTAAAAGGGTTAGAAAAGATCAAAATTCTCATCAGCAGAAATGCTTGAATGCTAACACTCCTAATATCAACAATGGCAGAAGGAGCTCCATTTACAGAGGAGTCACCAGGTGTTCTATCCCATTAGTTATATGTCAAAGTTTTTCAAATTTTGATCTTTGGGTAATTGCTTAATTTGCATGTAACATGTTTTTGGTTGATTAATGTAAATTCTTATAAACATTCAACATTTTTCAACAGGCATAGATGGACTGGGAGGTTTGAGGCCCATCTCTGGGACAAGAGTTCTTGGAATAACATTCAGAACAAAAAAGGAAGACAAGGTAATTTTTATTTTATTTTATTTTATTTTTATGAGGAAAAAAAAGAAATAGTCAAAATAAATATTCAATGGAGATCTATAATTATTTGTTTATTATTTTACTTTTTAACTAATTAATTGTATTGTTTTTATTTACTTCTCTGTTTTGTTTACTGACTTGGTTTTTTTTTTATTCCTTAATTTATCTCTGCTCCATCTTAACGTTCATTTACGCTTTTGTCGCCTCCATAGTTTATTTGGGTAAGTGCATCTCTCTTTCAATTTTAAAAATTTTAATTCAGTAAATAAAGATTTTTATTATATTTACTTTTTAGTTTGAAGTACTACTCTTTAAACAAATTGGGTTTGTGTGGAAAAAAAAATGATGTTTATGGTCATATGTGCAGGGGCTTATGATAGTGAGGAGGCTGCGGCTCGCACCTATGATCTCGCTGCACTTAAGTATTGGGGCCCGGAAACAATCTTAAATTTTCCGGTATTTTTATATTATAATGACAATTCAAATTATAATAATTAATCTAATTTCATTGTCTCCTTAATTTTAGTTAGCTTGATTGATTTCAAAATGTGGGTAAATCTTGAAGGTTGTTTTATTTGATCATGATCACTAAATGCAGATAGACAGATATGAAAAGGAGATTGAGGAAATGAAGAAGGTTTCAAAGGAGGAGTACTTGGCATCTCTACGACGTCGTAGTAGCGGATTTTCGAGAGGCGTTTCGAAGTACCGTGGGGTGGCTAGGTATGCGGATTAATTAATAGTATCTCTCTTTGCATTTGTTTATGACTTATGTATAGGTTTAGGACTAGGAGAGGTAGAGTATTACTTTGACGCGAACCACGATCCGATTTATTATTAGTTTCTACCATTGCATTGCATGTGCTATATTAAACGTAGGTGCTCAAAATTTTGACTAAAATGTGAATCTGAATTTCGAGTTTAAATTGTGAATGGCAGGCATCACCATAATGGGAGATGGGAAGCTCGAATTGGTCGAGTTTTTGGGAACAAGTATCTCTACTTGGGAACTTATAGTAAGCCCTCTCTTTCTATCTCTCCTCTAATTTTAATATCCAAAACACAATTTTCTCTCTAATTTTCTTTGGTACCACATATGTATATATCTATACCCCAAGATTTAGTAGGGTCCAATAATGTCTAGTCTCATTTTTATATATTTATTAAGTTTAGTTTTTGTTTTTTTTTCCTTGAATGTTATTCATGCATTGCAACTTGCAAGGCTTAAAAGAGGGTACAATGCCATTTTTTGTGACTTTGGGTATAAAGCATTAAAGCTTCCAACTAAAAATAAATTCCTAAAATTATACCCTTTGCCCATTAGCATGATTTGTATAAATTGAGACTTGGACCTCAAATTTGTAGGAATAAGGAGACGGCTGAACCATTTATTAAGCGTTGGATTCGTCTATATCACTTTTCTTGTTTGATAAAAATCTTAATTTTTAACTATATTTTACTTTTATAATAATCAAACCCAATTTGTAAATTTAAGTTTATAATCTTACAGAAAAAAGAGTAAAATTTTTTATAGTAAAAGAACAAAAATATTGAATCTGGGCAGAGTAAAATGGAATATT